CATGCTCCATAATCCAGGTATACAATCCAACAATTTTCAGTCAGGTCATCTGGACGGTTTCTGTTTTTTTTTGCTGAAACGTTTCACCTTCCATCCAGAAGGCTTCATCAGTCAAGGAAACACACAACATAAAACTGATTCTTCCCCCAAACAGCTTACTCCGAAGTGGAACAAACCAGTTAAGTTGGTGCTAAGATGGTGTCTTTGGCACGCCCCCTCCTCTGGTGCCGGCCCTCTTCCTCGTCGACAGTCATGTCAAACTGGACTTTTGGAGGGGCTGATGAAGCCTTCCGGATAGAAGGTGAAACGTTTCAGCAAAAAGAAGAAAGTGTCCAGATGACCCGGATTAGCTGCAGACAGTTGTCACAAATTCAAACTGAAAGCTGTGACGCTGTAAACCTTTGATTTGTGTTGGGTTACTGCACGCGTATCTGTCCCATGTCTTCTGAAGGCTTTCGGAGGACTCGTTAGTCTATTTGCCTTTGACTCAACCTGCTAGAATGATCGTATTCTGGATGGTTGAGAATCTACACCAACTTCATCCGGTGAGTTGCACTGTACAAACTGTCTTTGTTATTTCAGCTGGGGGGGTTTGAACTGGCAAAAACAGAGACAACACTGAGAAAAATGACAAAGGACAAAGACAGAGCCATCAGGTCGTCGTGCTACTTATCTCCTCAGCTGCTCAACAACATCCATCACGTCTACAGCAAAGAGTGTGAAATGTACAGGTCAGCATCACTCACCATGCGCTGCTAAAATCTGTACGTAGTGGTGAAAAAACGTGCACTTTTTTACTTGGTTTCTCATCTGCATAGTAATTTATATTTATTTATTTGTCCCTGTTGTGTTTGAGCTGAAAATGTGCGATAGGTTGACTTGTGTTTCTAAAACTGACGACCTGTTGAAATATTGAGCCGTCCGGTGAAATAATCCTTCTTGTCTTTCAGCTTTGGAATTGTCCTGTGGGAAATTACAACACGTAAGAAACCTTTCGAAGGTGTGTACCCACAGAACATCGCTTGGACAAATTATCACAAGCTGGTTTTCAGTCTGTCCACAACAGAAGTTCAAGTTGTAACGTTGTGGTTGTACTTGAAAAACAGAGTCAGATTTAGAAAAATACACAAATAAATGATGAGTTAATAGTCAAATGACATTTTGTGTTACATTTTGGTATTTTTCTGTGACTACATTCAGAAAACATGTCAATTTATTTGCAGTTGAAAGCACACGTTACGTGCACATCTTTCCTACAGATGCTCAAATCAGCAGCAGAACTTATTCTGACAGGACTGTCAGAATAAAAGCCTCAGCAGCAGAACTTATTCTGACAGGACTGTCACAATAAAAGCCT